CAGTGAAGTATGCATATAGTTCATGATGAAATTGTACTGGTGTTATTTAATTAACAGGCTACATGTAATCAAGAAATACTAAGACAATGATGACTCCATCTTTGTGTGCACTTGTCACAATAGCGAATAATTGGAGCAGGGCGAAAAGCGGTGGCTACGTCTCTGAAGTAGTGTCATTATTATTATTGTAATTAAAAACATATTAGCAATAATGATTTTAAGATTTGTTAAAAATAGCGCTTAGGAATTAGAAGTACTGATGCAGGGAAAGGTTTTTTTTTAAGCGATACACTTATTTTATTTGAAGTTAAAAATAAAGTTGACTTATGCGGAATTTGAAGAAACCACACATAACTTACCAGCTAAGAGGCGCCAGTTATTGCCTTTGTAGTATTATTTCTGCCTTGATTCTAGTCCACATTTACTGTAGCACTTTATCTGACAAATTAATTCATTAATTTTTATGCTGAATATCATACTTCGTCCAGTTTTTCTCAGTTTAGTTATTATTATTTAGAGGCTATTAATATCTTCCTTTAGAGGCCATTAATGCAATACTTTTTTTTATTGCCATTTTTCCTTTTAAGATATATATGTGTGCTACGGAAGTACTATAAGTTGGATTCCTAATCAATAAATTGAGCGAAGCGAACACAGCATAGGGCGGAGGGGGGAAGGGGGGGAGGGGGAACCATAATTTTTTGTCTTAGAAAGAAATGTTTTTTTTTAAGGTTTGGCTATGGCGAGTATTGCCAACGTAAGATGGAAGTCCTACTGCTGCTTGTGAATTTTCTCGCCTTTTTTTATCACTGACTTTTTCTCAAGTTCATTTGATCAGCCAGCACTGAAATTTATTGCCATTTTTCTGACCGGCTAGATTTGTTCCAGCGACAGCAGCAATGTATCTGTCAGCAGTGGTAGTTCTGCTCCTGCTAGTAGATTATGCAGTCGCAGATCCGAAATGCGATCCATCCGCATACAAGTTATCAATGATTGCTGTTCATGAGGGCAGTGATGACGCCCTTGAACGATTAAGGCATTCAGCTGAGCGGCACTCCATTGATTTTACTGTTGTTGATCTAGCAGCAGAAAATGTGGCCAGGAATATTGAAAATACTGAGGTTTGTGTCAAATTGCTAAATATTCATTTTAAAATTAACTTCGTGAAATTTGCATTTTAAATTATCACTTCAGAAGACAGCACTTTTTTAAGGAAACATTTTTCTCAAACAAGGCCTGAAGAAGTGCGGGAGAAAACTGCTGTTTTACTATGCTACAATGGCGATGCGTAGAACGAAGATGCACATTCGGTCACGGTCCAAACAGACATGTTGGGTCTTGGCCAGAAAGTAAATGTACGCCAAAATTTCCAACCGGAGATTATACGTAGAACGGTTAACAGTATTAGGCAGATCCAGGGCAGTCTCCTGGAGGGGAGAAGGAGCGACAGGCGGTATCAAGCAGAGTTTTTTTTACGGTAGAACAGCTGCTACTCGAGCTCTGGGAGTAGGGGAGGCATCGCTGTTTTTCTCAAAATGTCGATTTGGAGGGGCCGTAGCTTCCTCGTACCACTGAGCTGAAGGTGATATGTGGATACGGAACTTGTCACTGATGACAGTGGACGAAGGGAGCAATGGAACAAGTGATGCTTGGAGGATTTCATCGCAATCGTTCAAACAGTTGGATTCTACGACAGATGAGAAGCGCACAAGCTGTTGTGCGCGATAAAATCCAAACTTATTGCTTATACTGCTAGCAGTTGATGGGCGTAGAATGACTTCGATTGAGAGTTTCTCGTGCACCGCACACATACATCAAACCGGTTAATATATATACCAAATGAAGTCACGCAACACAGGACTTACAAGCTTTGCCCGACATGTGAACCTAGTAACATTAGTATGAGAGCTCTGAGTCTTTAGAAAGTTCCTGAGAAGTCCCCCACCGACGCTTGACCCAGAAAATTTAAATTCGGCTTTCCCGTGCTCTTGAGTATCATGTGCGATGCCGAGAAAGTTTTGATGGGGAAAATTATTATCTCAGGAGTCAGAGGAGCTGTGAGGCTGAAATTTCCGGAGGATGTTTTCTCCTTGTGCAGATACCTCACAAATTCAAATTTAGATCCCAAGTATGCCGAGGTTTTACTTACGGCCACGTAAGTGTTTTGATGCGAAAACCACTGACTCGGGAGCCGGAAAACTAGGAGGTTGGAATTTGGGAGGATGTTACTCGTCCAAGGTTTCAAATTCAGCTTTCAAGTACCGTCAAATGAAATTTTTAGTGAGAAATTTCGCAACTTAAGAACCAGGCAATATTTCGTAAAGAAAATTCTTTAGCAGACAAAAGTCAGCCAGACAGAACTGCACAAAATGCATGATGGTACCCGTCACCGTGGTGCGCGCCACCATTTATTTTTTCCTAAAAAGGCTAAAGGGTAGCGTGTGGAAAAGGAAATGGATTGATCTGACAGTGTAAAAGATAAGTAATTATAGATTCGAAGTACGCGTTTTCGTCGACTTCTAACCGAAATTGATGCATTGAAAGCAAGAAGCACTCACATTTTGCTTGTCGATGGGTTAGTGTTTTTGATTTTTTTTTGCAAACTTTTCAAAAATTTCTAAAAATTGAAATCGTACGAATTTTATTTTTAACTGCAACTGGATGATTCAGATTTGATGCGATTGTTACGGGCAAAGAAACAGAAATACTGTGTCAGTATCTTAGCGCTTGCACCAACTGCCATGCTCTTCTGCCATCGAATCGAATGGGATCTAAGGAAAGGTGTCAAACCGTTTTTTTTTTGGTCTTTGATTTTAAATAGTGTTAAAGGATCTCGAGCGGTGTATAAGGCCTTCAAAAGATAATTGTGGTCTTCGCTTCAGAGTCTCTACTTAAGATCTCTTTATATGGGTTGGAAGATCCTCCCTCTCCTCTTTTCGAATCAGAAATTTTGTTGCGCATCGGGGACCTCAACAATTTTTACTGGTAATTTTGACTATATTTGGTTTAAAACACATTTCATTTGCATGTGAATTTATAGCGGAATGCATGCAGCGGTCATCATGGGGCATGCCTCGACAGTAGCGGAAATTCTGAGTCATTTGGCATCGCAGGACGACGAAAATGCAGCCCCATACAATCGTTTATATTTCGACGACAAGCTAAAGGTGACTTTCAGCGCATTTTTCGCTGTCATACCCATGTTTGTTGGCTCACATTTGATTTTTTCATGTAGTCGTTTGATCTAATTTTCCTTCTGCAGAGCAGCCTTGGAGTGGTTTATGATACGAAACGTGCATTATTCCAAAATGTTGATGCTAGCGCTCGTGAAATCATGCTTTCGTTCCAGGATAACGGTGATGCTAAGGTAAATTTTCATGTTTTTATTTTTGTGGAAGAATACATTATGGCAGTCTCTGTCCTCCGAATTAAAGAATGATGGCTTCACTCAAACGTTTTTACTGTAAAAGATGACAAAATGCATTTATAAAGGTCCTACTTTGTAGGGCTCCATTTTTTTCACTTTCTTCCTTACAAGGAGCTTGAAAAACTACGGCTGCCGCCCAGTTAGAAAGTCCTTGCAAGTTTGAGTTAAAGTCTGTGCTTTAAAAGGTCTGATCAGGTTGCCAGGACATTGAGATTTAATACTGAGATTCACTGTCCCGTTTTATCGCAGTTAGGTATTAAATAAAATTTTGTCACAGACTTATGAAAATTATGTGGTTGAAGATAAGGCTTAATCACTTTAAAATATTTTTGAAGGCCTGCTTTGAAATCTTCTCCGCTTATAGCAACCATACCATGGGTATCCGCGAAGAACCAGCAAAAGTACGCCGGCTTGTGTGAGCAGTTAGGTAATATAATTTATAAAAGCTCTTCAGCAGAAAGGCCACTACTGATATAATGATTAGCAAGTTGTGGTTGGGGTGTTTTGGAAATAAGGAAAATGTGCGATTCGATTCTCTCCTGCTGCATATTTTTGCAAAAAAAGGCATTGGCTATAGCCTGAAAATTTATAATTTCAATGTAATGTAACACTTCAGGTGTTCAATATCATGCACAATTCATATCCGTCCATAATATACGGGAGCGATGAGGGACGTCTAATGCTAAATTACCTGGGCAACTATATTGGCAAAGCGTGGTCTGCGGAGAGTGGTTGCCAGCGGCCGGGCTGCACCATCGATTCGAGCTTGTTGGTTAGCTAACACTCCAGTGTAATTATCCCTAATTTTTTTGAATTTCTGTAGTAGAATGAGGTCGAAGTAAATGCGGATCAACGCTTTAATGTTATCAAAAATGCAGTATCCTTGAAATCACCGTTTTTTGCACTCTTTCAGTACAGTTTGACAAAGTTGGGTTAATTATTGAACTTGTCCCGTTGGTTTGGGAATTTGGTGCTTTTACTGATTTTGTTTTTTCTCGACTGCTAAAAGCCTTCTAGCATTGTTGGATAGTGAAAGAGAATAAGATTTTCCAAGCAATTGCTGCTACATGCAGGAGAGTCAGGATCGGCATCGGTCTACTTTTAAGCTACTTTTGAAGGAATGAGCTCTTTTAACGGATGGATGCTGTCAGCTCATGCTATTATTCAGTCTAGTTCCAAATTCTGCGCCTCTCTTCACTGTGAAAAATTTTTACGTGAGCTTAAGACTTTGAAATTGGACGAAGAGCGACTAGAAAGACTAGTTTGAGCTAGTTGTTGTCAGTTGTCTTGACCTTCCCTAGACAAAAAATTCGGCGCTACTATTATGCGTTTTGTGCTGTGTAACAGCATTACAAAACGCATACTGTCACGGGGTTGTCTGTGTATGTGTGTCCCACATTTTGTCCCGGCACTTTCAACTCGGGAGCCACAAAAGCTAGGCGGCTGAAATTTTGGTATAGTGTTCCCTGCCAGCAGATGACGCGGCAGGTTTAAATTCAGCCTTCCCGTACCCGCGGGTAACACGTACGGCCCTGTGAAAGTTTTTTACGGGTAAATTAATATTTCGGGAACCACAGAGTCTAGGAGGCTGAAATTTTACGGTAATGACCCCCTGCTCGAGCTTAACCTTACCTATTCAAATTCAGCGTTCCCTCGCTCTAGAGTATCACCTGCGGCCTTGTGAGAATTATGGCGGGTAAACTATTAACTCGGGAATCACGGAAAGATATTCACTCTTCAAGGTTTCGAATTTAGTTTTCATTTTTAGCTATTTTCCAATGTTTGAACTATTTGCATAGATTAAAGTATAAAAAAAGAGTGAAAATCATTAATAGGCAATCGTTCGATGGGCTGAATTGCACAAAACGGATGATCGCACCGACAAGTCTGGTGCGCGTTGCTATTTATTTTTGCTGTTAGTAGCCGAATCCAAAAATAAGTGCATATTGGGCGGCTAAGTGTTCCTCGGCACTAAGTTTCACCTTGAGCGCAAAAAAAATCCATTAAGGTTATACTCTTGTCCGCCTGTTTCCAATTTCCATCTCCAGCCGAGAACGCGGTCGGTAGTTTAGGTCTCGGTGTTCGTAATGAAGGAGACTGGACAGGCTTTTTAACTGGAAAGTTAGGGCCTTACTTGGAAGTAAAAATTGGGACGAGGTTTATGCGGGGTGGATGGAGGGGAGGAGGAGGGGGAGGGGGAGGGAGACTATACAGGTTTTTTATGTTCAGCATGAAACTTGATACTTGGTGGTGGGGAATTAGCAGTTTTGGACGTGGCACTTAAAACCTTGCCTACACAAAAAATGCGCTGTTACGAACTTCATGGATCGAATTGCTTATTGTGCGATTAGGCCGAACCGAGTTAAGTTGTTACTTGGTATTTTGCACGCCGTTCGTTCGGCGGAGAATCTGATCGGTTATATATGGTCACAAGGAAATTTTCACTGAAATATATGTTCGAAAAATTTGAGCGCAATACTCTCGCCAAATTGCTTCATGTTTGTTCCGGAAATGTTTAGGAACAGGAAAAGGATGAGGCGGCTGCATGGCCATCTCTTACGATGGCTCTGTTCATTACGAAACCCATCCCATTTGTTCGAGAATTCTTTGCTGCTGTCTCGCGCTTCTCGTACCCCGCTTCAAGAATCGATCTCTATATTTACAACAATCAGCAGTACAACGAGAAGGATGTTAGTAATGCAATAAAAAATTTTTAAACATTAAGCAACTTCAAGTGGGACAGTTTAAGCTCGGGACTGGACATTTGAACTTACAGCAAGTTTTCCAGAGTTTTAAATATCTTCTGGAATTATGTTAACGAATCTGGGGATATTAAAGTTCGTACGCTGATATAAATTTTCTTCGTAAATTAATATTGCTAACATTCATTTTCAGCGTATTTTGTCGAAATTGTCATTTTGAATAGTTGCCTTCAAGTAAGATATGCACTTGCATTCTTACGTTCAGGTAGAGGAGTTCGTGACGAGTGCGCGAAAAATGTACAGAACAGTGGAGTTCGACAACAGCGATACTGCTGAGCTGGGCGAACGAGAAGCAAGAAAAACCGCCATGTTAGTTTCATTTTTTATGCGTTTTACATTTCTGTCAAAAGTTCTTTGTTTGTATGTTTGTGTTCGAAAGTGAGTGAACTGTGTTTTCCATTTTCAAAACTAAGCAACCGAAAAAGCTAGGAGTTTTAGTAGTTGGCCTGAAATTTCTTTTTTTTCGAGAATATTCAATATACCAGTTTAAAATTTTGGATTCAGCCTCGAGACTCGCATTATGCGCAAACAAAATTTTAATCTGCGATAATTTTGGCACCCGTCCAGCCTACAACCTAACAGGCGGGGAACAGTTGTTTCGTGAGGATGTTTGCTGTCCATATGCAATTTTGTAATTTTAATATTACCTTTTACTTTGGCATGCGCCCTGCACACGGGTGCATCAAGCGTTCAGATTGCAACGCTTTTATCATCCTTCTTCTTCGGTAATCAGTTAGTTAAGAAAGCAGAAATTTTACGAGAATGCTCGCGTATCTTGTGAGTCACTGAAAGCGTGAAATCATCGTAAATGCGTGTATCTTGCTTACGGATACTGCGAATTTGAGAATGCTTTTCCTTACAATACTATTCAAGACGTGGTAATTATGTACTTTGGAGGATAAGATTTCACGCGGCCCCGCAATGCAACACTACTATCTCAGTCGGCCTTTCTTTCTGCTGCATGCAAGAAAATGCCAAAATATTGCTAATACGAATGCGCATGTTATGCTGTAAAACAAAAGCCGTTCATACTGTTAACGATCTGACCACTTCAAGTTCAGCGGAAAAACGCATAACCACATTGAAAAACTTTGTGGGTGTTGCTACCTAGATTTATGTCTTGAAAAATCTTTTGTAAATTTCAGTTAGCAAATTGTTTATTTAAATTTTTCAAGCATTTATAATTTTAATTTTAGAAGATGTGTGTTTATGTAAAAAGTAGGGTTAAAAAGGAAGGAATAAAAGGAAGGTGAATAAAATAAATCCGATTAAAAAACCTGAATAGGAATGTTTCGGTCCTTTCAGTCGCATACATCCCTGCTCAGTGCAGCAACTGGACCTCGTCACTGTGACCGTTGCAGCAAAATTAACATGCAAAGTGTCAAAAAGAAAAAGGAGAATTTTGATAATGTAAAAAAGTTAGAGCAAACGGTAAAAGTGCATTTAGGAAAACAACCCTCCACCATTATGGATGTGTAGGATCTGTAAAATAAATAAAATAAAGGTAGAACCTCAAAACCGGTAGTAGAGGCATGAGAATCGGAAAAAACTAATTAAAATTTTAAAAAAATACTATAACATATTTTAAAAAATCAGGAAGTTGGGCATCGGCTAAAGATCGGGAGCAGCATG